TAACGACATCCTTACTCTCGCGATACTTCAATGAGCTTCGTTACCGTGTGGATGTGATCGATCGTGCTGAATCCTCTTCGAAACCCTGCTTGCTCGCATGGCTGTCCTTCGTCTAGTGTTCTGCCAATCCTATTCAGGATGACTCGTGTGAAGAGTTTGTAGACTACAGACAGCAGGCAGATTGGGCGATAATTGCCAATGTCGTACAGGTCTCCCTTCTTGTACAGCAACACAGTCTTGCTGGTTTTCCACGAGGTGGGTACCTTGCATTCCGACAGGTAGCGCGTGAAGAGTCGAGCCAGAGTTTTGACGAGAACTGGCGGAGATTCCAGGGGAATGGCCTATAACTGGTTATGTTTCTTTCGGGCGAGAAGAAAATTTAACCACGCGTAGCTCGCCAGGCTCTGACGTGGCACCCTCCGCATTGGTACGTTTTTGGAACAGTCCAAAACCGTTCACCCCACGCACACGATGAGGCTTAGCATTGGGGGGGGGGGGGTTGACGCTTCTGCCAGTATAGGAAATGAAAAAGTAAAGCAATTGTTTCCAGAAGATCAAAGACGCTGTGGAGTCCGACAATGTCGACCCAGAGGAGTTTGCACCTGCTGTTAAGGAGGTATTGATTGTTGAATAGATTTTTATTTTCCTCTCCGAATAATGTTGTATAGTCGTGGCATTTCCAACAAAGCATCATAGCATTAGCGCTACTTTCTTGCAATAGAGTAGTTGCTGCTGACGAAGCTGTTTACAAACTTTAAAAATACGTTGCAGGTGAAACGACTTCTGGAAAACGATCAATTCCCCCGCTTCCGCCGCTCTGAACTCTATCTAAACTTTCTGGAGAAGCTTCTTCCGAGAGCATACGCTGAACGCTGGACGACTAGTTTCGAAGCCCTATTAGGAAATCATGTGAGTGTTTTTTGTTGGTGAAGTTTCCATGATACAAGAGATCTTGTCTGCCGGGCTGGTCCTGTAAATGCGCTTTCTGACAGAATGATTGAAGAATCCTCAAGCACACGGTCATATTTGGGACAAGGTAGTTCCGCCTTCTCTGTCCACGAGTTTATGTTAAATCAGCGATGATAGGGTAGATGACGGTGAATGATTATGGTGTGGGGTGTTGCTATGGGCTGCAGAAGAGGGGTCAAGTTAGACGAGCCATTTGCCTCATTTCGTACTTTCTCCAAACCCAGCTCTTGGGAGTGTGACATTCAGTCAGCTACATGGATCTGTTACAAGGATAGAGGATAGATCCCCCCTCGCAAAAAGAAAATTATTGTCAAAGACAGGACGGGCACTTTTGAATACGAGAAGGGGAGGTGTTGTGGAAGGTGAGCAGCTTTTCACGAAAATACTGAACGCCTACGCTTATTCCAGTTTATCGATTCCTTGTTTTCAGGTTGGACGTCATCACTTTCGTCTATTCCTTCGCGGTATTCATGCTGAAGAGAATCTCCGATTCTGGGAAGCAGTGGTGGAGTTCCGCGGTATGAAAAACAAGAGTCCAGCGCAACTTACTGCCGGAAAGAGCTGCTTGAATACTTTCCTTGCGGAAGGAGCAAATAATGAGGTGTAGTTTTTCTGGGAGATTGCATACCCTTTGTTCGAATAATCGTTACACTTCTAGGAATGAATTCTAATGCTTTCTTCTAGAGGAACTTATTTGGAATGCAAAATGTGACATATTCAGGTGTTCTTACCGTTCGGCGTCCGGCAGGTGATTGAAAAGAAAATTCAAGAGAAGGATGTCGACATAACACTCTTTGATGAGGCTATCAAGCATGTCGAACAGGTGGGTCACCTGCACCGATATGAGATTTGAGTGGCGACTTACTGGACACTATCAGCCCTCTGCGAGCGACCCCACTTCCCGTCGGAGCTTGGGTTCAAATGACTGATGGCTAGAAGTTTCTTGAGGTAGTTTGACCCCTAAACACAAACACAGTTGCTCAGCGCAGTAGCGTACAGCCCGGCGTCAAAATAGTAATGATAATTCCATCAATATTATAGCAATCAATAAGTGCGCTCGTAGAAGGCATGGAGTGGTATATCCGCTCCATTTCTACCATGGCTTATTTTCTTTCTAGTTCAATCGATCACTACCCGGTCACTAGTAGAAATGCAACTGATTGCCGGGGGCTCACTCCACCCCTCCTATCATCGCCCCTACTGATTGCGACGATATCAG